TTTATGATAAACTTGTTGGTTAAGGTAAAGTAGGAATTTTATTACAAGTGTTGTTGCTATTTTCTGAGTTGATAAGTCTGAAATGAGGGTAATAATTTCGTCTGGTACTAGGCCAGATAGTGTTGAGAAAATTGATGGCCTATCTGGCATATTGTGTATTAACATACAGTGTAATTGTTTGATCTGATTATATAAGTTGTCTATTGTGTTGGAAGTGGTATCAAGAGTAGTTGTATTGAAAGTATGTTGTAGTGAATCGTCAATAAGATTATATAGTATCTGGTTAGATGGACAGGTTATTTAGTGAAGGTGGGAACTAGTGCGATAACATTGGTGGCAAGTAGAAGTGTGTGCATGATTACGTTTATATAGGTTGTGTGGAGTAGGAAGTTTATCCATGAGGATCTTGATTCTAAAAGACTTAAGAGAGGAAGATTGAAAGCTGTGTGAAAAATTGGAAATTTTTTGATTGTTATTTATATATAGCCAAGTGGCTTGCCAATTGATTTGGTTGAAAATCTTGTTCCATTTTTGAAAGCGATTTGTGTAATCCATAATGCATAAATATGAGCATGGCATATTGTACGATTGCTTTGGCGAGTAGGTAACTCTAAGACAAAGTTTTCAAAAGTTAGTGTATAGGCTGAATTGTAGATATTGTAAGGCATAAATATTAGATATGGCAGGTTGTAATAGTTTCGTGCAAGTTGGTCAGCATGATTATTATAGTTATCATCTTGATGAGCAGTGACTTTGTGGAATAAGATATGGATATTATAAGATTTAATAAAGCTTATATGTGTATTCCAAAGTGAAAAATATGGTGTATGTGTATATGATAAAGTAGTAGGTGAGTGCATAAGACTTTGATATTTAGAGATTACAGATTGGGAGTCAGTGTATATATGTATAGTGCTGTCTCTGGAAGCGGTAATCAGCGCTGACAAAATAGCAACAAGTTCAGACTTAAAGGAGCAAGGCCAGAGTTTTGTCTGAGCATGAAATGTATGTACAATAGAGTTGTTAGAGACTTGAACTCATCCAATACCCATAGAGCATTGTGAGGTTCCTAGGTTAATAACAGAGCCATCAGTATAAAAATGGAGTTCAGATAAATTAGCATTGTGGTTCGCAATTTGTTGAAGATTGTTTGTTAATGAACTGGGTTCGAAGATTGTTGGAATTGAGTGTGTAGTAATGCAAATATTAGGTAAATTTGGAGTTTGAATAGAATGTCTAATTGCGATTGAGTATATAAGATCTAAATGATTAGCATTAAAATTGAGAGTTTTGTTTGAAGTGTTTACTCAACCAAAAAATTGGGTTGATAGATTAATTGGGATCAAAATTGTACATTTGTTAGCAATTGTTTGAGAGTTAAGGGAGCAGCCAGGACATATGCGTGATTGAATTGGTAAAAGAGGATATAGACGAGTAGAATGTGATTCAATATGACATTGCCAGTGAGTAATAAGAATATTCCCTGATGAAGAGAGTTGCCTTCTAACTTTACCAGCAATTATTTGATTGTCAAGTACTGTAATAAGCCAAGGCTTTTTCTTTGAAGAAAAGTGGCCAGTTGTGTAGCTATAGTAGTTTGTATCTGGTAGATGTAAATGTTGGTATAGTGTACGGTTGGCATAATGATTAGTAATTTCATCTTCTAAGTAAGAAAACCAGAGTGGCTGTTTGCCTTTTAGAATTTTGTGTATACGAGGAGAGATATGTTTCCAGTCCAGTAAACATGAGTTGTCAAAAGTTGTAAGTTGGTCAAGATACAGAATATAATGGTATCGAAGTTGTTTTTTAAAGGTTAAATATTTAGGATGTGAGGAGAGCAAAGATTCTAAAGAAATAGAACCTTCTTGGATAGTATATGGAATGTTATATGTTGGGTTAGAAGTAAATGCTATTCCAAGATGCTTAAAAAGTTGAATAATTTTAAAGTTGGTTGAGTGTTTATTTTGACGGGATCTTTATATAGGTTGAGTATACTATTAATCATAGATTTTGGGTTAGAGTGAAGCTTATCACATCTTTTTGAGATGTTGTCATTAATTTGCTGCTTTATTTCTTTAATGTTTTCCAAATTATGTATATGGTAGAGAGCTTTCCATGCTTTGTTGCTGTAGTTAATCCAGCTAGGCAGTTGATTATGACTAGTTGGTAAAGAAGATATATTAATATTATGAGTTAGGTTAATAGTATTAATTGTGACATTATGATGGTTAAGTATAGATGTTTAGTTTTGGTTTCTAATAATTGCTTTAATTTGATGGATAATATTACTTAATTTTTTAAGGTAAAAGTGTAGTTGAGATGCTTTAGGTGAGTATATATGCTAAAAATTGTGTACAGTAAATCACTTATTAGGTATATATTGTAATGCTACTAAGATTATATTTGTTTGTATTTTGCGTCATGTGCATTCAAGTGATTCATTAGTGTTTGTAGTTAGTGGTGTGTTGTTTGATTGAAGATTTGAGATAATTTGGTCAGTATATAGTTGCCATTATTCTGTATTCATATTTTTGTATAGAAATACTCTTCTATGTGTTCTAGTAGAAATATAGCATATGGAAAAACCTATGATGAGATTGAGATTTGGTGATCACTCTTAGTACTAAAATTAGAGTCATCATCATAATAAGAGTTAAGATACTGAAGTATTGAGTGGTTGGCCTATATATGTTGTGCCTCAGATCGATTCTCGCGTCAGATCTAAACCGACGCACATCAGATGCTGATTTCAAAGTGATGCATGTTACCTAATAATTTGTCATCTGACATGCATTGATTGTAATCTGAGATGCGTAGGTTGTAAACTGATGCACTATTAAAATCACATATTTAATTACTAAAATTTTTATTCGTGATTTTTAAAATTCGCATTTTATTAATAAAAAAATAAACTAGCATACAGTATATGCATTATTCTTTGTTTAAACAGGCATGACCGCTATGACAACGGCTTGTACACTTCGCGTTTGCTTTTTTACATTTACACTTTTTACTATCACAATTACCCTTGCAGTTACAAATAGAACTAGATACCATCACTATACTCTGGAGCATTGATGCTTCATGTATAGATAATTGGTTGGATGTTCTATAGAATAGGTGGGCAAACTTCGCAAACTTCACAAACTCTGATATTAAAAAATTAATGATTACTAATCATTAGTGATGCTTATTTTTTATATTGCCCACCTATTCTATAGAACATTCAATTGGTTTGAAAGAATGTTATTAAGTTCAGAATAGGTGGTAGCTTCAAGTGCCTCAAGCTCACCTGAGGTGTAACATATATTAATTACACCAAATTTACAACCCAATTGATATTGATCATCAATTTTCTCTAAAATCTTGCAAGGTAAAGTAGGATGATCAATACCAAATCGATCAATCTTAGGAATGTTTGCTCTTATGAAGTCACCAACTTTAAATTGAAAACCTTCTTTTTTTTTAACATTTGATGCGACATTTTATCAGTATAATCCTGAAGGTTGCGCCATGCTGCGTCATGTAATATTTCATGTTGCTCAGAATTTGTATGATTATTTGTTATATCAGCAAGAGCTAGGATTTGGTTTAATATTTTAATAACTATTATATTTTCTAACCAATTTAATTAATATATAAAGATTTTAAACAATCTATTACTATTTCTGTATGAAGGCAGACCATAGTTATTGGGCAAAGATATTAGACTATAGTTATTAGGTGAAGATATCAGACCATAGTTATTGGGCGAAGACACCAGACCACAATTATTGGGCAAAGATGCAAAACCATAATTATTAGACAAAGCACAGAACCACAGTTCTTGGGTGAAGACACAGAGCTACAGTAATTAGGCGAAGATATTAAACTACAATTATTAGTAAAGCAAACTATTATTGTTAGAAAATGATACCAGCCTATTATATATATATTTTTTTTCAATATGCATCCACAATAAATACTTTTTTCATATACACCCACAATGAATAATTATCATAGTTATTGAAAAAAAGCATAGTATAACTACCATTATTATTATATAAAGACACATAATTTTGGGGCAAAGACACCAGACCACCATTATTAGATAAAGACACAGAGCCACAATTATTAGGCAAAGACACAGAGCCACAATTATTAGGCGAAGATACAGAACTATAATCATTAGGTGAAGATACTAAACAACAGTTATCAGAAGCAAACATTATTGTTAGAAAATGATACCAGCTATGATTTATTATGCGTCTCTTTCCTGTGCACAATTGTTGCAGTTATCCCTTTTAATACTACGTCCATAAGATAAGCCTTTCTTTTTTTTTCTTTTCAATATGCACCCACACTAAATACTTTTTTCATATGCATCCACAATGAATAATTATCAAAGTTATTGAAAGAAAGCACAGTATAACTACCATTATTATTATATAAAGACACAGAATTTTGGGGCAAAGACACCAAACCACAATTATTAGACGAAGACACCAGACTACCATTATTAGGTGAAGACACAGAACCACAATCATTAGGTGAAGATACTAAACTACAGTTATCAGAAGCAAACATTACTATTAGAAAATGATACCAGCTATGATTTATTATGCGCCTCTTCCCCGTGCATAATTGTCGCAGTTGTCCCTTTTAATACTACATCCATAAGATAAGCCTTTCTATTTTTTTTCTTTTTAATATGCACCCACAATGAATAATTATCAAAGTTATTGAAAGAAAGCACAGTATAACTACCATTATTATTATGTAAAGACATATAATTTTGAGACGAAGACACTAGACCACAATTATTAGGCGAAGACACTAGACCACTATTATTAGGTGAAGACACAGAACCATGATCATTAGGCGAAGATACTAAACCACAGTTATTAGAAGCAAATATTA